TCATCATTTGTTTGAATGAAATTCCTCAGCATACTCATTTGAAACCTCACTCACAAGGTTCAGCAAGTTTGGCAACCGATAATGTGAAATCTTGGGATCATCCAATACGCGCAACATGAATGATTGAAGGGATTCTTTTAGGCGTCTAACATTGTTTTGTTTGTTTTTTTATTTTATTATTTTAGTATGCGTTACATAGTGTCATTGATAATGATATTGTTATTAATAATATATCAATTCATACTATATATATATATATATATATATAAATATAATATAATTTTCATATATAGCAGTAACACTAAAGACTAATAAAGTCAGTTTTACATTATAACCATGTGAGCACTCCTCTGGTACATATGCACCACACTGACTACAGCATGTGAAAAATTGCTGAAAAAAGAGATGCAAAGGTTAGGATAAGATAAAAAAAAAGATGAGCTTTGACCCGCAAATGAGACATTTCTGTGCTTTGTTTTGCGCGCACACACACACTTCATCATACAGTCTTACAACAGACACACACACACAGTCAAACAGCATCATCAGGGCTGTGAAGCTCCTCCGCTGCTATCCGTCAGAGAAGACACATTATCAGTGGTTCTCAGACAGATAAGGGCACACCCAGTGTATTATGCCACTAGTCTGCGTTCTCTGTGCAGTGTATATACTGCACATTTCAGGCAAGCAGAGCAACATTGGGGAGGTTTTTTTTTAAATAAGGGAAATAGGTACCAAACCTTTTATTTATATTTAAACCATTAGCTAAGACGAACAGGAAGCTGTAAACGAGTGTGACAGTTGCCCAATATCCCTTTCCCCTCCACTAAGATGTTTTAAAAAGTGACACGGTGGTGACCTGGCCTGACCTATTTTTAGCAGTTACACTTTCACTTGATGAATGCACCTACTTAAATGGCTGTGTGAAAAGATTGACAGTTTATAGTGATACCTTGTGACATAGTTCCACACAACTGTTTCATTCCACAAAATAAATGCTGTAATTACAGTACGAACTCTGTGTCTCTTTAGTTTCCATTGTGTGTTCAGTTAACAATGCAAATGGGAACATACTGTCTGTGGTGGTCTGAGTGCCTTATTTATGACATGTTACTGCCAGCATACAAAGCATATTATACTAAGAGCCAGTACATTTTATTCTACAATTTAAATTGACACTCCAGCCTTTCCAATAACAAACCGAGAAATAACTGACAAACTCCATTTAGATGTTAGAAATGTTTAAACAAAACAGGTCCTCTCCAAGTTGCACAAGCAGGGTAGGACAAACTCATAAACATTTGTAGCCTGTCACAGCCTTAAGTTACCTACAAGGGTTTTAGTAGGTGGCCTGTTTCAAATATCAGGCCTGCCTGCTGGACTAACACCGTTCTGGTCTCCCTTTGCTCATTAATCAAATCTCTCCTCTGTGAAAGAGGTGAAAACAGAATCACAAAGAAAATGGGCAGATTTCTGCCTGAAGGAACAGGGGTTAACACCCAAACCCTCTCCCCTCGTTCTGAAGAACCATTCTCACCACTGCATTTTCATACATTTTTTTTTTCTCAGTCTTCTTTCCCTTTTTCAGTCATCGAGTTCCAGACCAAAGTGACTGTAGAGATCTCGTGTGGTGGTCCCCCTCAGAGCAGCTGCAAGACAGAGCAAAATGGGGGTTAGGGCCCTTCAGCAGATTACAGGGTCAACTCCCTCTGGTCTACTTTTCAAACAATCCTAAAGACACTGAGCAGACCAAGCTCACAGTACCAAACAAAATATTAACAATATAAACATAACACTTGTACTCTGTGTAAAGACTTTATTCAGTAGCTTAAAAATATCTATTGAAAAAGACATAAAAAACAGCTCATCTCCATCACCATTTTTATTGCAGCTTAAAATATTAAATCTTTTAAAATAAGGCTTTCTCATAAATGAACCTTGTGAAAGCATCATTTACTATATGTTACCTCACATATTTGACAAATTAGCCCTACTAGCTAGATCTCTGCCTCTTTTACATCATACACAACCAAGCTATGCTGAGCTGTGCCGGGCTGAGCCTGATACAGAGACCAGTTGTCTTTACTGTTTTTTCCTATATACAGGGCTGACAAAGCTGTAGCATTTGTTACGACAGCATGCTAATGTGCTGCACTGGGAGGATGCAACCAGGACTGAAAATGATTATATCTTCTTATCAGTTAATGCATGAATCTTTTACTAATAATTTGTAGTCATAAATATAAAAAAAGATTATGACCCATGCTAATTTTTCATGAGTAGCTTTGATAACTTTCACCAGCAGTCAAATACGAATAATCAATAAGCAGAAAGAAGCAAAGGAAACATCACATTGGAGAAGGAGAAGCAACTGTTTGGTATTTTCTCTTGATTTATAATTCTCTTTCACCCTTATCCTTACCTGGTTTCCCCGGCCTTGACTTGAATAAGCAATAGCTCAGCGCTTAAGTGATGCAACTGTGCTGTTGGAGTAAGGGGGTTGAAGGCCTGGAGCTACAGAGGGGTTCATTGTTTTAGTCTGGATTCGTGAGGAGTTTTCAAAATTTGATTAATGATATTTCAGTTTAAAAAGTACTGTACCTGAATACTATACTAATCTCAGACTACAGAGTCAAATTAATGGATTTTGTCATATTTATATACTGAATACATATACACTGATTATAAAAATTTGAATCTGTCAGGAACACTTAACTGTTACTTAACTGTTTAATGATGCGTGAATGTCAATGGAGAATTTCTCATTAAGGAAATGAATAGATTATATAATAGTTGGACGTGTGGAAATGGGAATATATTAAAAGCTAAAAAAAAGACATTTCTTGAGAGATGTGACAATGACCTTAATCTTGACCGACAGACGGACATGGTGGAAGACAAAGGGACAGTTGTCTTTAAAGGGTACTGCAGGGCATCTCCTCTTGTCTCCTCTCTCATTCTACAGCCTGCCCACCCTTCTCCTCCCTCTCAGAATAACAGCATACAACAGCAACTCAGTGTTTTAAGTATAGACTCTTTGTGAAAGTGTGTGTGTGTTTGAGAGAAAGTGAGAGAGCAGAAGGGGGGGGGCACAGAGGATGATAGCATGTGTTTGTGTTTGACAGTATGTCAGTGTATGCATGTGTGTGCATGACAGACAGAGACTGTAGTTGTGTGTGTGAGTGTGCGCGTGTGTGAGTCATGTGAAAGACTGCTATTGTGTCAGAGGGGAAACGCCACCCCCATTCACTAAGTGGTCATTATCATCCTGACTCTCCACTGTACTGAGAGAATTTAAAGAGATAGCAAGCTTTTAACTCATAATATAGATATAAAATAAGAGATATGCCCAGTTTTTTTACACTGAAGTGTGAAATAAGTGACATTAGAGCATTCATTGTATATAATATGTGTGTTGTTCCTGTGTATAAAGATTAGAACACTAAATCAGGCGGATTTTATGGCACACACACACACAAGCATGTGCATGTCAAAGTGGGTAAAAAGTCATGTTTGTTATGACACACACACACACAGTCCATAATGTGACTTGGCTGTGATACACCAAAACCTCCCTAACAGTGTGAAATGTTTGAACTTTTTCACACTTAATCAAGTGCAGCACATGCACAGTCACAGATATATTTCAAACACACACAGACTTTCAAATATATAGGAAAACAAGATTTTTTTAGTGGAATATAACATTCATAGGTATGTTTTCAATAGTGTATAATCACCTTAAAATAAGAATCGTTGTGTTTTTATCTACAGCTGCCTCGGCCACCATGTTGAACTGCCATGTTTCTTCAGTAACGCAGCATTTCGTAGTCACCATTGCGCTTGGAGGGAAGACTGAAGCCAGGGAGTTGCAATCTGCACTGCATCGCTAGATGCCACTAAATTCTACACACCGGACCTCTAATTATTAGGTGTTTTAAATTCGGAAAAGGTGAGCTGGTACCACGTACGCTACGTCAGATGCACACATACACACACAAAATCAATCAGTGTTGCCAACTTGCTGACGCTAGATTTAGTGATTTCTCAGGCCGTATCAATTTGATTTCTAAAGAGCGACTAGCAACAAATTTAGCGTCTTACATAGACCATCAGGTAAAAGGTGAGGAAAGGTTCATGCTGCACAGCTTTTTGCCCAAAGCGTTGGGGTCTCTCCCTCTCCTCAGGCAGTCATTAGGTGTGGCAAGTGGGGCATGTTTGACCTTCTGTCTCACCTTTTCTTTTTTTACCGGATACCTGGATTAGAGTGTTTCTATAGCTTATATGTAAATAGTTGGTTTGAGCTTGTAAATATTTAGTTTGTTTGATATTCTCTGTCCCTTAGTCGATTTTTTTTGCTTCAATTAAATTAAACATGATAATAATGTTCTAAGTGTGTGTACTTAAATGTCCATTGCTGTATACCAATCAGACAGCTTTTTAGTTTTTTTTTAAATTTATTTATATATTGACCAAACAGAAATAAACAAGAAACAGTAGCTCAACCAATGACTAAAAGAATAATGAAAACTGATTGTTGGATTGAATGATTGCAATTTTTTATTCCTATATAAGTGCAAGGAACTAGCAGAACTTCAATGGCGGACCAAAGTGAGTCCATGAAGTGGTGAGAGTTACTGAAATAAAGTTACAAAACTATATTCATTATGAAGAATGGAAAAAAAAGTCTGGGACAGTTGAAAGCAGAAGTTGGGACAATAAGAGCGTCATCAGTAATGTATGATGACAATGCTGCTGATCAGTATTAGCCAACATATGACTGGACATATAAAATATATAATAAAAGTCGCTCAGTGGTTTATTTAAGCTGGATGAAGTGGGAACTTAAGTATAACCAAGCTGACCAAAATAACAAAGGCACATTTTTCTGTCAAGTGTTAATCTAATAGGAGTGAATGTAGGACCAGTATGTAGGACTTAATCGCATCTAGTGGGGAAGTTGCAGATTACAGCCATCTGAATACAGCTCAGCCTTTCAAACATGTAAGAGCCCTATCTAGAGCCAGTGTTTGGTTTGTCCATTCTGGGCTGCCGTAGAAATGTAGCTTTTCAACATGGCAGACTCCATAGAAGAGGACCTGTTGCCTCTAAGGATAAAAAGGACTCACTGTAAGGTAACAAAAACACAAAAATCCCTATATTCAGGTGATTATACACCAATACACCTATACACCAACATAAACCTATGAATGTTATATTCCATTTCTGCAATTGATCCTCCTAAATGTTACTCACTGGACCTTTGAAGGCTGACCAATGCAATCTAAATGCAAATATAATCAGCCTTGTGTAAATACTTTCAAAGTCAAATGAAAGACTGGCTTTGGCGTTTGTTTCAGGTGTCGAAGGAAAAAAGAAACACTCTGTTGCCCTCTGGTGGCTGGCTGTAGAACAACTTGAATCTCAACCAGTCTCAGTGTGTTATATTAGACTTAACGAAGCCCATCATTTTTAGTTCGCAATTTTCCTTCAAGCTATCATGGTAATGCCTAATCAGTTAACAGCTTATTCAAATGTTTCCTTCGGTGATATATGTTTAAATAACACAAATGTACATTTTAGCACACATGGGCATTGCTGCATAGTTTTAAGAGTACACTTTTTTTTTTTTTTTTTAAACAGACAGAACAATATTGCTATAGCTACAATATTGTAATGGTGCATACGTGTTAGGTAAAGACTGTGACAACAAGAACAGCATGTGACTGTGTGGTAAATATGATGTTGCGTGTGTCTATTTACATTTATATTCATTTAAGTAGTTTTAAAAGATGTGATCACACCTTTGTACAGTTTGTTTTCTTTGGTCCAGAATACACCAGAAAAGGACATATTGTATGTCTCATCTAGTGTGTTCAGGGTTTTACACTGCCTGATTATAAATGAGCCACGAGTTGTAAACATGAGTCACATAGACAGACAGACAGACAGACGGACAACTCATTCAACTCACAGTTTTTAGCTGTCATCTTGGAACACTTTTTTTTTGTGTGTGTGAGGAACCCGCAAAGATATAATTGAAAATAACTCATAAGTCACGATGGCAACTGGACGCCATCTGTCACGAAACAAATAAGCCCACTGCAAACAGAGGGTGGGGAGGATTCATCCTATAAATATCTGCCGCAATCAGCAGACATGTCCAGCATTTTAATTTCTATGTATTTTATTACAAAACACCCCACTACCCATAAACTTTGGTAAACTCACATCAAACATATTTGTTACCTGGGATCTAGAGAAGCAAAAACTCATGTTAATTATACAGAATCTCTTTTTGAACTTAAATTCTGTATATGGTAGAAAGGAGAGGACTTAACATTCGCCTGTGTATAACTTTGTCTTGAAGTGTAATGTATCTGACCACAATTTTAATATAATAATCATTCAAACATAAACATGTTAAGGTAATACTATGCACTTTTAAATGTTCCTGAGACTAGTGAATTAAAACTATTTTTCTTACCAATACGGCCCAGGAGTGACTGTCCAATGTCTTTGATGTCATTGTATTCATGCAACATATCAATATGATGCTCCAGCTCCTCTACACTGTATCCCCTGGGGAAACACACACACACACACACACACACACAACTGGTCATACATGCAATATAGATACTATAGGGCATTATTTGTGGGGACATTATATATCCCCCTGTCCCCTAATGCTAAACCAAATCATCAACACTACATGCTTAACCTCAACCCATACTATTCAAGTTGGACCTCAAAGACAGAAATACAGGAAGACAAACACACACAGCTGTACTCACTCAGCTTCCAGCTGTGCTATCTCTGTGTCCAGCTGCTCTCTTGTCCTCTCGAGCTCTGCCACCTCCTCTGCAGGGCTAACTTTAAGACTCCCAGATACTTGAAGCTGTAACAGACAACCGTGATACTGGCATGCACGTGTGGCACTACATATAGGATTTATATGTATGAGAGGGGGGGTTTACTTACAGGTGATTTGAAATTGGAGTTAACTCTCCTACACTTTGAGAATGGAGTTCTAGGTAGAGAGGGAAGGGGAAAACTATTGTTAAAGACAGGATATATTTCACTGGATGAAAAAATGTGTAAGGAATACAATTTCTTTGAACTGGTTATTTCCCTCAGTATCCATTAACTCTCCCCTAATGGCCAGCGATAGCAGTAAAAGCTGCATGTCTGTGTATAGACACAAAGACAAGGCCATTTACCATCATATCATCTATGTAAACATACATTTGGGATTTGAAGCCAAGTATTCATCAGTTTCCTAGTTATGGCTAAATAACGATAATGATCAAACCAAGGGTCAGATTACAAGCACAGGGAGATATCTAATGTTTTGCTTTTGGTCACAAAGGTTAACTAATACAGATGTCTGTCTGTCTGAAAATAAAAAAAGTGGTTGTTGTTGCTAATATAACAACTAGTGACAGTAACAACTTAACACCGTTAATGTTCTGCATATATCGTGGATCAAGGCTATGTGACAACACATTTTTAAAGTGATTGATTTCAACTACTGCTTGTTAACAGAGTAGATAGTAGACGACGTAGCAGCCAGCTAGCGTTAGCAACACTGGGGCTAACAGGTTACCTTCTCAGTGCTGCTTTCTTCAAGTCGTTGCCCTCCGGTGTCGAAACTGGACAATTATTTGCACTACAGTGAGTTTCTGTGGGCTGCTCTGTGCTCATACTGCCTTAAATGTTCTACAAATATGTATGTTATGGTTGATATATTGCAGTAGGAACATAATATATGAACAGAGTAGGAAGTTTGCAATTCGCGGCTGATGGGATGCGGACTCTGATTGGTTCTTGAAACCGAGAGGCGGGACTTATAAGTTTGGTTACCGTGGAAACAACCTATAGACAGTATGGAAATGGTGACTTCTGACGCTCTTCAATTTGACGGAATGATTTTAGAGTATTTGAATATTAAGGCTAGCGTGAATCACTTTCAAAATAGATATTAGTTAGATTAGTATTTTATCTTTTTATAGTACCAGACACTTCAGGTTTGGCCGGAATGTGTCAACAAAGGCACTATCTTTATTCAACCACCAGATGGCGACAAAGTATGGCTTAAGCTGACTCCTTTATTTCTGTTTTCATCACATCTTCAGCTCTCATAACGCTCAAATATAGAGTCTCTCTCTCTCTCT